CAATCATCAGCTGGCAGTCTGAAGGGCAGGGAAACAGCCCAATGAACATCACCGCAGAGGAGCCAATCAGCTAGATGTTGCTGGGGCCACTGTGAACCAATCATCAGCTGGCAGTCTGAAGATTGCTGGCAGCTGGAAGTTTGCTGGGGCCCCTTTGGCTGTGGCTCTCAACACCCAGGTGGACCCAGTCATCCCGTCCAACCGCCACACAAATGACAACAATTCAAACCAAAACACTGCCACATGGCCCTCATCTTCTTCCATATAGACACTCATCATAACCTCTGGCTGGTGGTTTCCATGAGGGGCGAAGCCCAAGACAGTGTCAAAAATAAGCTCCCTTGCCCCTCATTTGCCTAATCTCAGGGTGGCCTGGACACCCTTCCTGTGAAGCAGGAGTACTCAAATATGCTTGCCTTTAATGCTGCTCTGCTTCTCCAATTTGAGACCTACTGACTGTCAGGCATAGATTCTTTGTGTGAATTGGAGTCATGAGAAAACCCAAGCATCTATGGGCTAGCCTCTGCAGAGCTTTGAAAAACTCATTTGACCCAAAGGATCCCTATTCTCACATGATAAAAGTCAGGAATCTTACAGAGAAAGGCAAAATACTTCATGCACAATAACTACTCTTTTTGCCATTTTGGCTTTGGATGTATACATGGGATCTTTCTTTGATCCATCAAGTGCTGAGAATCTAAGCCACAGCCTCACATAGGGCCAAGAGGTTGATTCAGACACATCCCTTTGCAAAGCAATTAAGCAAAAAGCAACAGGTGATGCCCATTCATTTCCATTTGAAAACCCTTTTCTTCAGGCTTCACAAAGTGGTGCAAGGGGTGGCCTGAGGCTAAGACCTTTCTGACATTCAGGGCAACAGAATAATAGGTAAGCAAAAGGCCCAAAGCAGGGTTTCTCCACTGACACTTTACTGTTCATTGATATCTAGGTTTCCTGAGATGCTCCTATTTCCCTTCAGTTATCCAGTACATGGCCATGTCACAGAGCTGGGATGTGGTACATATCTTGGACACAATACCATGAGGCTATTCTGGAAAGTGGCCAGAATTCAGGAATAAAACAGGATCTTAGGAAGATAGTAGGTGTTGCCCATCCATTAGGCAATCTGCAGTAAATTCATAAATTGGGCAGGATGAAAGCTGGGAAGTTTTCTACTAGACAAGACACATCCATTGATGCATTCTCTTTTCTAATGTCTACAACCAGGGACACAGAGGGATACACAGACTTAGAAACACTCGCCTAGTTAAACGACTTACTAGAAACAGTCCACTACAAATCAAACAAACAGCCTTTCCTACCTATTCTCAGAATATGAGACAAAAGCACAAACTCACACCCACACCCACAAAGGAACCTCCTTCCCCCAAGTAGGTCTCTGACTATCGAGAGTGTCATCTGACTGGTGGGCCATACTATGTTCCCCAAAATGACCTGTCCTCTCTCAGATCTGGCCTCCTTGGTCAACTCTGTGAAGTTGTCAGGAGCCAGCGGTGAGCCACTCATTCCCTGCTTTCTCAGGAAAGTAACATTTTCAGAGCTTTTCTGGCATTTGGCCATCCTCACATCTGTAGGTACCAAGAAAGACTGACTCTGTCTTTGGTAAATCCAAACAAGTGAGCCCACTGGGACTGGGACTGGGACTGGCTCTGGTTCCTGGTTTCCTGGATCCCAAGTTCAGAGAGTTCCATCACCAAGGATGTGAGGTGAGGTCACTTCCTTCAGGAACTGAATGAGGTCACTTGCATGGTGATTACATTCTCCTAACAGTTGAGATGGAGGCTGCCCCTGCTTCCTGTGACACTTTCACAAGTTAGAATGGTATATCCACCATGGGCACGCAGGAACACCTCTCCACACAGGCCTGGTTTGGTTTATCTTTCTACATTAAGAAGAGAGAGGCTCATTCAGACACATCCCTTCATCCTGACCAGGTTTTTTGCTATGAAAGATGACTTTTGCTCTCTCAGGTCCTTCATAGCTGCCTACACCTTCTCCAGGGATTATTTCTGCATGGACCTTTGAGGTTCTCAGAAGGTGGCAGATGTTCTACATTCCTGTATTGTAATACCAACTCTGTCCCTGCTCTTTTGTAAACTTGGATTGAGGGAACAGTGTATGGTTAGGGGTAAGAACATGTTCCATTTGGGTTAGGAATCATTCTCCTGGATGAAGAATGGTATTGGGAACCTGCGATATTTATAATAATATATAGGTGAAATATCTGTATGTAAACAGAAATCAAAGTAAGATTTGAAGCCCAGAAGGTCATTGGGCCCTTGATTGGGATACTTAGCTTTGAATTCCATTCTGCACAGATGTCTCAGATAAACTGATATAAAAAGGCATAAGACCTTATACCTTGGATGATTGAATGTGGAAGAGAACATCCAGTCAAAAAGGAATAGTAGGTAGGATAAAAAAGAAAGTCAGTCGGTTTAGGAAGAAGAGTGAGTATAAAATTTGGACCAAAAGTTCTTTAGTAGAAGATTGTCAGTTAGAGAGTGAATGTAAATGTCAGCACATGTGAAGAGTCAGTCACAATGATGAACTGGGGAAATTATGTAGGAAAGCAGATATCCATAGAGAAATTAGGAAATCCGGCAAATTATAAAGTGAGTGATAGGATTAGATATTTTCAACAGGGTAGAGGTTGAATGTATAATCTTAGGAAGAAGCAACTGTGTAGTCACCAATAGGATTGACATTTGAGAGCCTTAGGCATCCTGGACAAGGATGTTTTTAGTAATCCATGCTCACTTTCCATTTAGCCTTTGGTACAATCATAAGTATGAACTTTGCATTTTGTGTCCAGAATATCACTGTGATAAAATGTATATGTAGATCAGGTGACATGAGTATTTCTTCCACCACTTCTGAAAGCAATATCTTGAAGACCTATCAATTAGTATTTGGGGGCACAAATAGATATACACTGTGTCTATGAACATAGAGATAATGCATGAATAGACCATACTGTGAATAAATAATATAACTGGTTCCAATTTAAATAATGGATTGCATTGATATCTGAAAATATATATAAAATCTAATATTGATACACAATCATTCATTCCAACCAGTTATACATCTAATGGTAATATTAGGGTTATGGTTTTCCATGAAGGGTGTGTGAGTTTTGCTTGAAAAGAGATTATGGAAATCGAAAATCATGTGTTTGGAAAAAAGTCTCCTGAAAAGACCAGTCCAGAAACATACAGGAGTACATGTGTTCTGAAGCAGGAAGTGATTGAAAGTGAACCAAATGCCTGGAAATTTGTGAACTTGGGGATGAAATATATATCCAATGATGTGTTCAAGTGAAGAAATAGTAATGTACCAGTGTTGAATAAAAAGGAACGTCAAAACACACAACATGTCTCATAGGAATCTACTTACATTGATGCTAAACTGGGTCCGTTCCTTTAGAAATATTAGGATTTCTATGAACCATTCACTGAAGTTCGTTTTCAGTACTAGGAAACAAATATGTATTTCAGGTGGATGAATATTTCTGAGAATAATGTTGTGAATAGTTGATTATAAATCCACATACTGAACATAAATGAATTTAGCAAGTGTATAATAAGACACATATATTTTATATTTTGAAAAATCTGGAGAGTGTGTCTATATATATATACAAACAAAACAAACACACACAGATATTAAAACTTAGAAATATATATGCCAATCTAAATTCATCATGGAATATATATCATCCACAGATCCAAAATATTTATTTTACTGAACATGGATTTATGTATCATGTTGTTCAAGTAGAAAGCTCACCCATAGGTTGAATTTTCAGTTCCAACAGCATTTAGGAGGAGTGATCTCTTCTCACAATTTGTATCTGCAAAGTCAGCCACCTCACAAGAATGTACGTGGGATATCAGGTAGAATTGTATATGTGCATGTAAAAATACATGTGCTGAATAGGCTACAGAGAAAGGGAGACAGAAATTCACATATTTGTTAATTTTACAAACACATGGAGAACTGTTTCTCTTAAATTGGACTAGATTTGTAACACTTTGACTTTATAATGCAAAAGGAAAATCCAACTATACACCATGCCTCCTCTGAACTGCTTATATTGCAATTGTGTTTGGGTAATTTTCCTCCATCATATCAGGATTCGTAATCAGAGACTAGTAGGTTATGGATTAGTGTCAGGGATTCAGTATTTCCAATGGAAAATATGAAAATGAATCCAATGTGTATGCAATTATGTGCTACACAAATATCTTCCCACTCTCATCCAGAACAATGCCTTGACATTACATTGGCCCCAAGTAAGACACAATTCCAGGAGAAGAGTTAGAAAATCTGTGAATAAATATCTGCAATGGAAAATGCTCAGTAGTTCACAACCTTGTAAATGGTAGAGGAGTTTCCATAAGTAGGGGACAGGGTGGACACTCAACAAACATGGAGCTCTGCTGGCCTAAAGACTTCTTGGGAAAGTGCCTTTGAGGTTGGGCACCTAAAATATATGATGTTGTCAGAGTGTAGCTTCCTTTGTAGTGAGACCATCAAAGCTTGGTCTGCATTTATGTGACCTGGAGGACATGGTTTCTGATTTTCCAATGAACATGAGGCAACAGTGCTGAATTCTCTCTGTGTAGGTGAACTGTGGCCACTGGGGTCTAAGTGTCTCCCCATGTGGACTGTGAGGCCATTTGGTCATCCTCCACTTTTCATGGTGTTTCTTGCTGCTTCACTGGGAGTTTCCTATTGGCTTCATAAAATACAATGAGTTCAACTGGCACACAGTGCTGGAGGGAGCTCAGTCACGTGTGCTGACTCAGGGTCCTAGGAGAATGCACCAACCAGGTTTCTATCCCACAGAGCTTGCCCCCTTGACCATAGCAACCTGATTCTGAACATTGCCCTGAAACCTCTCAATATAACAAGATGTATTTACGTATAAGGGTCTTCTGGCTGCACCATGTCAGTCACAAGCCATTTGGAAGCCAATGGCAGATCCACATGGCTTCACGACAGATGTTTTATCACACACCTGCACACCACTGCTCTTGGCCCCCACTAGTCATCAGGCTCCAACTTACTGGCATTTCTCTTCTACACCATTTTCATGAAACCGATTCAATCAAGGCACTGTCTGGTACACTCATGATTAGCAACAGCACATCCAAAGATTCTCCAGTGCCACCTGGTCATGGGAATTTCGAAAATTTCATGGTATTTATCAAGCCATTTTTCAATGTTGAACTTGGAGGCACTGTGGGTTTCTATTCACTCAGGAACCACTAAATGGTGAGGAAGCTCATTTCAATGAAAGCTCTAGAGAAACACTCAGAGGCAAAAATTCTCAAGAGTGGCCAAAAGGTCATATGAAGCCAGGCCCATTGAGGTCTACAATGTGAGGTCCATGTGTGTTTTGACTCTCAACTATGGCTGCCAGGTCTTTAAGAATAAAATCATGTGATATCCTGGCTGAGATTCCCAGTGCTCTGTGGAAAGCCACCCTGGGCCTAGATCTCAGTTTCAAAGGGTGACTCTCATGTATGGCCTTTTAAAATCCCAACACAATTCATGGCAATACTTCTCTGAGTTAAGTTAAAAGAACTCAGTCTCCAAGGGGAATCAAGCCAGAATTGAAGCCCAAGTGGACCCAGTCATCCCTTTTAACCTCCACACAAATGAGCAAAATTCAAACCAAAACACTGCCACATGGCCTTTATCTTCTTCCATATAGACATGCATCATAACCTCTGGCTGGTGGTTTCAATGACGGGCACAGCCCAAGACAGTGTCAAAAATGAGCTCTCTTGCCCCTCATTTGCCTAATCTCAGGGTGGCCTGGACACCCTTCCTGTGAAGCAAGAGTGATCAAATATGCTTGCCTTTAATACTGCTCTTCTTCTCCAATTTGAGACCTACTGACTGTCAGGCATGGATTCTTTGTGTGAATTAGAGTCATGAGAAAACCCAAGCACCTATGGGCTAGCCTTTGCAGGGCTTTGAAAAACTCATTTGACCCAAAGGATCCCTATTCTCACTTGATGGAAGTCAGGAACCTTACAGAGGAAGGCAAGAGACTTCATCTTCAATAACTATTCTTTTTGCCATTTTGGCTTTGGATGAACACATGGGATCTTTCTTTGATCCATCAGGTGCTGAGAATCTAAGCCACAGCCTCACAAGGGGCCAAGAGGCTGATTCAGACACGTCCCTTTGCAAAGCAATTAAGCAAAAAGCCACAGGTGATGCCCATTCATTTCCATTTAAAAACCTTTTTATTCAGGCTTCACAAAGGGCTGGCCTGAGGCAAAGACCTTCCTGACATTCCTGGCAACAGAATAATAGGTAAGCAAAAGGCCCAAACCAGGGTTTCTCCACGGACACTTCACTGGTCACATTGATACCTGAGTTTACTGAGATGCTCCTATTTTTTTCAGTTATCCAGTACATGGCCATGTCACAGAGCTGGGAGGTGGTACATATCTTGGACACAAAACCATAAGCCTATTCTGGAGAGTGGCCAGAATTCAGGAAGAAAACAGGAACTTAGAAAAATAGTAGGTGTTGCCCATCCATAAGGCAAGCTGCAGTAAATTCATAAATTGGGCAGGTTGAATGCTGGGAAGGTTTCTACTAGACAGGACACAGCCATTGATGCATTCTCTTTTCTAATGTCCACAACCAAGGACACAATAGGATACACAGACATAGAAACACTCCCATGTCAAACGACTTACTAGAAACAGTCCACTTTCAATCAAACAAACCGCTTTTCCTACCTATTCTCAGAACATGAGACAAAACCACAAACTCACACACACACCCACAAAGGCACCTTTTTCCCACAAGTAGGTCTGTTACTTTCTGGAGTGTCATCTGACTTGTGGGCCATACTATGTTCCCCCAAAATGGCCTGCCCTCTCTCAGATCTGGCCTCCTTGGCCAAGTCTGTGAAGTTGTCAGGAGCCAGAGGTGAACCACTCACTACCTGCTTTCTCAGAAAACTCCGCTCTTCAGAGCTTTCCTGGCATTTGGCCATCCTCATATCAGTAGCTACGAAGAAAGACTGACTCTCTCCTTGGTAAATCCAAACAAGTGAGCCTACTGGGACTGGGAATGGGACTGGCTCTGGGTGCCTTGCTTTCTGGATCCCAAGTTCAGAGAGTTCCATCACCAAGGATGTGAGGTGAGGTCACTTCTTTCAGGAACTGAATGAGGTCACTTGCTTGGCAACCACTCTGTCCTTACAGTTGCTTCCAAGGGTCCCATGAGAAGGAGGCTGCCCCTGCTTCCTGTGACACTTTCACAAGTTAGAATGGTATATCCACCATGGGCACCCAGGAACAGCTCTCCACACAGGCTTGGTTTGGTCCATCTTGTCTACATTAACAAGAGAGAGGCTCATTCAGACACATCCCTTTATCCTGACCAGGTTGTTTGCCATGGAAGATGACTTTTGCTCTCTCAGGTCCTTCATAGCTGCCTACATCTTCTCCAGGGATCATTTCTGCATGGACCTTTGAGGTTCTCAGCAGGTGGCAGATGCCCTACATTCCTGTATTGAAATACCAACTCTGTCCCTGCTCTTCTGTAAACTTGGATTGAGGGAACAGTGTATGGTTAGGGGTAAGAACATGTTCCATTTGGGTTAGGAATCATTCTGCTAGATGAAGAATGGTTTTGGGAACCTGTGACATTTATAATAATATATACGTGAAATATCTGTATGAAAACAGAAATCGAAGTAAGATTTAAAGCCCAGAAGGTCATTGGGCCCTTGATTGTGATACTTAGCTTTGAATTACATTCTGCACAGATGTCTCACATAAATTGATATACAATGGCATAAGACCTTGTACCTTAGATAATTGAATGTGGAAGAGAACATCCAGTAAAAAAGGAATAGTAGGTAGAATTAGGAAGATAGTCAGTCGGTTTAGGAAGAAGAGTGAGTATAAAATTTAGACCAAATGTTCTTTAGCAGAAGGGTGACAGTTAGAGAGTGAATGTAAATGTCAGCACTTGTGAAGAGTCAGTCACAATGATGAACTGGGGAAATTATGTAGGAAAGCAGATATCCATAGAGACATTAAAAAATCAGGCAAAGTATAAAGTGAGTGATAGGATTAGATATTTTCAACAGGGTTGAGGGTGAATATATAATCTTAGGAAGAAGCAACTGTGTAGTCACCAATAGGATTGACATTTGAGAGCATTAGGCATCCTGGACAAGGATGTTTTTAGTAATCCATGCTCACTTTCCATTTAGCCTTTGGTACAATCATAAGTATGAACATTGCATTTTGTGTCCAGAATATCACTGTGATAAAATGTATATGTAGATCAGGTGACATGAGTATTTCTTCCACCATTTCTGGTAGCAATATCTTGAAGACATATTAATTAGTATTTAGGGGCACAAATAGATGTACCCTGTGTCTATGAATATAGAGATTATGCATGAATAGACCATACTGTGAATAAATAACATAATTGGTTTCAATTTAAATAATGGATTGCATTGATATCTATAAATATATAGGAAATCTAATATTGATACACAATCATTCATTCCAACCAGTTATACATCTAATGGTAATATTAGGGTTATGGTTTTCCATGAAGGGTGTGTAAGTTTTGCTTAAAAAGTGATTATGGAAATCGAAAATAATGTGTTTTTAAAAAAGTCTCCTGAAAATACCAGTCAAAAAACATACAGGAGTACAAGTGTTCTGAAGCAGGAAGTGATTGAACGTGAACCAAATGCCTGGAAATTTGTGAACATGTGGATGAAATATATATATACAATGATGTGCATCAACTTAAGAAATAGTAATGTACCAGTGTTGAATAAAAAGGAACGTCAAAACACACATCATGTCTCATAGGAATCTACTTGCATTGATGTTATACTTTAGAAATATTTGGATTTCTATGAACCATTAACTGAAG